CCATTGGCATTCAGCATGTCGACTGCTCTGTTAAACTCTTGCGGATACCGATCCGCATTTCAGTCCTTGAAGGTAAAGCTTTGCATGTGTAAGGCATATTTATTCATTTTGTTCGTATGTTTGTTATTGTTTAAATGCTGTCATAACGGTGTGGCACATCATCAGCCTTTCGGCTTCAACACCAGTATAAAAAAACAGTCGCACCAAAGTCACACGATCCCAGAAGGATATGATGTAGATGGTCTGTCAGATGGACTGCAATTTGGGTTTATTATCTGACTTTTCGCCGGTAGCAACTTAACCTTGTGTGAAGGAGCCGTTTAGCTCAGTTGAATGTATCGCGTATCATACGGTCTGATTAGTTATGAAAGATCTACATTCATCATCAGCCGTTATTGATCTGCTTTTAAATGAAAACATCCAAAATTTTGTCACAGAATTCACATTACATCTAACAGATTTCTTCACTTCATTGTGTCGTTGATCTGGAGCTTATCCCACTACCAGTTGCCTCTTGGAATTCAATCTGATATCCCCATGATTCAACGAGGTTCGGTTCTTCTTGCAGCGTACCCTGCTCATGCACTAAATGCAAGTAGAAATAAATATTTCTTGTTAGCTCATGGTTAGAGACCAGATGCATAAAACCCCAACCGAAAGCATGTAGGTGGGAGAAGGGGGTTGTTAGTAACGCAGTTAATTATTAGGATGCTTTGTGCGGATTCAAACGCAGCAGGCAGCGTGAATTTTGCGTTATTATCTGCTAATTCCTGTGTGCAAGGAATTCGTTCCATTGTGCTTCAGTACTAACCGAAAAAAATGGCAGTACGGCTTTGATATGCGAATAATAGGGACAGAATGATGTTTTGGTGTAGTCATGCCAAAGCGTGCAAGACATATGCCACCCTGTCTGAGGCGTTTGCTTTACGGCTGCAGCTCGCCTTGACCATGTGATAGTTAGTTAAAAATCAGCACAAAGTGTAAACGTAAATTTTTTGATGAAAGAAAGTTTATAAACTGGTCAGATTTGCTTAATCTTCTGCGGTGTTTCCACTCCAGCGGAGAGAGAAACTGCTAAGGCTACTTCGATGAGCCATACTAACACGTAAGAATCCATCTAATAAGCCTACAAACAGGATTGAATCTGCCTGATTCATGCGTTACCTCGGAAGTTGAGAAATTGCTATTACTTCTTCAGTTGTCCACATTGACACGTAACAGCTTGACACAACTGACCAGCCTGCAAACTACATTAAATCTACCTATTCGTGAAGCACCACCAAAATGGGAAAGTTAGTAAGATGTGACTACTTATCAATGACGCAGTGCGTCTGTGGGCATTGTAAGATCGTAGCTCGTTATAGTTTTTACTGCAGTTGGATTCCGAACCATGAATCTGCGAGCTGATAAGTTGTTCAGTTTCAGGTCCGTAATCGAGGACAGTTTTAAAGGATTTTTACCCTTGATGATCTGTGGTGTTACAATTTTAGATCCTCTCTCCACAAGTGCAGATCACGATTACTCCAGTGTTCTTTTGCCCCAGGCTACTCGCCTCCGTACGTTGCCTTAGGTCCTTTACAGAATAACAACCCAGTGTATCTTGGGCCTTCCTTTTACTCTCCTGATTTTACGCGGACACCAGTCGAGCATCCGTTTAGTCTACCGATTCTTTCATTTTCGCCACATGCGTAGCTTGTATTTTCCTTTCACAGGCACCGTAGATGACAGCTTTAATGCCTCGTCTAAAAGGAACCGCGCGATTTGTGCGTTTTGCAATTTACTGACGCTCTCGCCTTTCGTGACGTGCACATGCGTTGTTTTCCACAGTTCACATCCATAGAATAGCGTGGAAGTGATGTGTGTATGAAAAACATTTTTACGCGCTGTGAGAATCTTCCTGTCACTGAGCACGCCTTTAAAGTTGCTTAAAGCTAACCAGACAGGACTTCTCCTTCAATTGAGCTCGGTTCCGAGATCATTATTCATTCGTAGGACCTGCCCAAGATGTATTCCACTGATTCAATTCAACCTCATGTCGAATTCAGGCTAGTGAGAATATTTATCTCATTTTCCCGTATGAATTGACAATCTGATCTCCTTTGTAATTTGTATCACAAATTTCTTAGTCTTCTTAGTACAGACCAGGTCCAGATGATCCAGGCGATGTACGTACATAAATATGAATATTTCACTCTACTGTTCAAAGACGGTTCAGTTGTCTTGTTTTTCTATAGGTCAGTTTTCACTGATACTGAACCTTTTTAGTCTAGACTAAGAACGAAACGTTTATGGCCTGAAACGATGAAGAATTGCAATGATGGCGTTTTGTCAGGCCAAGTCGTTCCGTTAGAGATGTCGCTGAAGGTCTGCGAGGCTATTACATAGAAATAGATATAGTTGCTTATTGAACAAGTTATGGTCTCTTCAGCAACATGCACTAAAACACCGAAACAAGCGAAACTGTACAGCCAATGGCGATTACGGTAGAAATATATCAATCTGAATTTACAAGTACTAAAGCGCAGCGCCGTCAAGAGACGATCTGATGTAGCTATTGGATCTGTTGTTAACCATTTGATAGTGGAAATCAGCTACCAGTCTCAATTCTTTGGCATGTGGTACTTCTGCTACATCGTTAATCTGGGTACTCTGTCCTTGACCCTGATACCCCAGGTGATAATGACAACAACTCTTGCCAAAGCTCATTATACTCAAACTGAACCACATCAGACTAGCGAAATAAATAATTAACGTTTGAATAAATCATAAAGTAAATTTATCTTCTGAACTTCATTGTCACTGCAGCAAGAACAACAATTGACTGATCTGTTTTCATTATTAACGAGGATTACCGTTACCATTGTTTCGATGTTCACTCTCGTCTGTCTCTTGCGATTTGTCGCCATGAACTTTCACAGCTCTGACTCATTGTTCAATCTGAGTCTAGGTATTACAGTTGGGCGCTTGCAGCCTTTTCGGTGCCAATCTGTAACTGCTGTGGTCCGTCGGTCATCCATCAGTCGGGCGATGTGACTTGCTCATTGTTCTTTGTGGCACTGATGCAATAATGTCCATCATTCCCGTGCAGTTTCTTACAATCTTCACACAGCTTGTCCCTGATGGAAATTTTCACACAGCTAGCATTCTTTTTCCCATGACCCACTGCTGCATTCTAAACAGTTCTTCATCCTTTTTCATTAATGTTCACTTCTCGCAGCCATATGAAGCTGTTGGCAATACATACAACGTTATTCTACCCGCGATTAATAATTTTCATTTTTCATGAATGTCAAAGTTTCCTCTGTTTGTACCCCTCGCCGCATGACGCTTTCTTTCGAACTCAGGATTAAAAGCGTGGTCCGAGACGAGTAGCTGTCCCAAGTAAACATACTCTGTAACTTCGTCTACTTGGTAATTATTTATGGTAACTCAGCATTCGTCCAAGTCCAGCTTGTTTGCTGTTTAACTCACATTGAACATCTTTTGCATTCGTCCCCAACAGCACGATGTCAGCAAGTTTAAGAATAGTAAGCCTTCTGCTGTTGATTGAAAATCCTCCATCCCATCTCATTTTTTGAATGCTGACTCAGTATATGCGGTAAACTGCTTTGGTGAGCCGGTATCTTGTTGAAGAACTCCATTAGAAACCTTAATTTTAACCGATTTGATCTTCAGACAGTTTAATCTTCGTACTGCAGCTTGAGTATACTTGTTGTAAAATTCGGATGTATTCTTTCAGAAGACTGCCTTTCAGAAGTTGAATGGTTTAAGTTGATTTTATTTAACGATTTTCTCATGGTTTAAGAAAAACCGGCAAAAGGAGGAATGCTGTCAAGGATTAATGCTATAAATAATTTACCAGGCGAAGCTTTTCCAAATTAAAATCAGAATATCCAACATGTATATTCTGCCACCATCGATACTGATCAAAAGGTTCAAGTGCAGAAGGCAAATGTGGCAATCCTTCGCATGATTCAAGCACATTATTAACTGCTCGATGTATAGGAGTATTCAAAACATTATATTCAGAAAGAGAAGGGGAGCTGCAATGGAACATACCGACGGTGTTTAGATTTTATCAGTCAGAATACGCTACCAGTTTAACTCCTTCCCCTCAACCAAAAGTGAAGAATCCTTTACTACTGAAGGTACTTCATCCAAATGGGGGAACGGGGCAGCACCGAGTTCAACAGGTATTTTATAAATAGTTTATCTTGCTCTGTTAGTGATCATGCGCTCCGTGAGGCAATTTTTAACTGAATAAGCGAATAACTGAACGGTGTATATCTTTGTTCAGTAAAGATTACAGACTTAAATTTTAACGCACTGCTTACACTTTTTCGAAAATTTTTTATAGGCACGCATTATTGTCCTTAGGGATTCTGTCTTTATTAGAGACAACTTTCATGCGACAGTTACCGCGGCGTTTACGTATAAGCGTTACTTATTTGTTCTTGCTAAAATTGTGTATATCACCTGTTGCTAATTCTTTTGATTGGTTAGTTTGTATGTTTGTTATGTCGTACTGCAAGTACATCAGGCAAACGCGTTTATTAGTTTATTAAACATGACATAGTATCCGTGTTTCGCGATAATTTTCAGAGACGGTAAAGTAGCATTTCAGGAATGTCTGCATTATGCCTGACGAATAACGACAAAGCGAGAAGTGATCCATTTCTGCATCGAGATCCCCAACGCCTTTCAACGGTTGATGTGGCAAACGATATCCTGGATTCGCTGACAAACGTGAAGAATCCACGTATGTTTGCACCAACCTGCGCTAAACGTCGCTTTCATCGAACGGTTGTACTTTGCGTTCATTAGTGATTTGCTTGCAGACGTGTACAACGTGGTGATGGACAATGAAAAGGTTTGCCGAGTTAGTTTGAAGAAAAAATCGTTTCGGTTAGGAGAGGACATTCCCGTGACATTGAACTTTGAAGAATGCGACGTCGCCTGTTATGAGGTAGTAGAGTGACTTCCCTTACCTTCAAGCAGTGCCTTTTACAGTATCATGTCAGTCTTCAAATTATGGAAATAGTAACCGAAGAATATCGTGTTAAAGGCAGTGAAGGCATTTATTCATCTATCATTTACAGCAAGCATGACCTTTGCTGTGCCTACAGTTCCGTTGACGTTCTTCTCCAAGTTCCGTTTACCGCAAGCCCTTCGTTCTTCAACGATATAGGTATACCTTTTCAATTTTAAAGTATACTCTGTAAATCTTTGCTTCTCAGAGATGAAGTGGATGTTGTAAATATCGATATTTTATTCACTAATGTGGGATAACCGTAATTATTAATTCGTTTTTCAGTTTTTGAATAATACCTTTTGAGCATCTCTTCGCGCAGTGAGGTAGTGAAATGTTAATTATTTCATTTAATGATATCAAATTCTATCATTTTCGATTTTATATTTGCTGTTTGCGGTCATGATCCATAATGACACTCCATCTTTTCATCTTTTGAATAGCAGTTGATGAAATAAATTAATGCAGTCTTTTATATAGTTAAATGTTCAGTGGTATGAAATGGTTTCCAGCAGTTGAGGAGTTAGAGTTGGGCATCAATAATTACATGTCACGTAGGAGCTGTGGGTTGAATCATTCGTTTTCGAATTCTGAGTCATCTTGCTAGCGAAGAAATGGGAATCAGCACCAGTCATTTTCATGGCGAACCATGACACCATGATTGCGCTTATATTTCTGTCTGTCAGCTGCGTTAACTTTCATATTGGCTGGGTTAGTTTCACTGGAACGGTCCCAATGTTTTCTTTACGCAAAAGGCGTTATTACGTCGAATGGATTCACAAACTGCAAGCTTCAGAACAATTTTTCCTTATAGACATAGCATCTGTAATGACTTTGACAGCGCCAGCATTAGACACATAGCTAGTTATACCATTAATTTCATTGCTCTTTATTGTTGCAGCAGATGCTCTGCCACGTTTGAGGTTCTGTCGTTGAAAACACTTGCTTCGTTAGTACTTTG